TTTTTTTATCAGTGCATCCCTAGTAGTGTCCAAAAAAAATAAAAGGAGCGGGATGTAAAGTTTCTGCAGAACGAAATTCTAACAGTGATCGTGGTTTTTGTTCGGGAAGCTCCATTCATTACAAAGTCCATTGTTAAAATTGAACGGAATTTTGAACGTCATCCGTCAAGTCTCTGATGGCGTTATTGAATCTTCTGATGAGATTTGTTCATATGAATGTCCCTAAAATAATCTACCGGTGTGCGGCCAGCTTGCAGCCCAACTCCGAGATGCAATAAAAACATTCCCATCACTGATCAATGGGCTGAAAAGAAAACTTTCCTTAATCCGCAGTCATGTGATCATCCAGCGCCGGGTCCTTCTCCTTTCTGTTTACTTCCTGCTTTGGCCCTTCTTATGGGCTCCTCTATCGCTGCCTGTGTGACCTGCACAATTCCCAATGGCTGCCCACCAGAGGGGTCCTCTCAGGATCCAGAAGACTACCGACATCGGCCCAAGGGGACCCACCCAGGCAGCTCTGGATTAGTGGACCCCCATTGGCGCAAGCGAGGGGACGTAGGCGAGTACCCCGTTTCCCCGAAAATAAGACCTACCCCGAAAATAAGACCTAGTTGTGACCATTTCCACGGCCGGTGGTGGCATAAGGGGGAACTTGAAGAGCCGCGGGGGAGGCAGGAGAAAATCAGCGGTGCCAACGAAACCAGCGCTAGAGGAAGCGAGGCGTCACCGGAGGGAGCAGAGCCGCATAAGCAGATGCCTCCTCTATAGCCCCGCCTCCTGTCACAGGCGGAGTGATACCAAATGCACTCCGCCTGTGAGGAATGATAGTGAAACTGCGCTTCGCTCATTCTGGCCAGCGATTGGATAGCAAATTGCTCTTGGAAAGGTACGGCACCCCTGATTGCCCTGATCACCATATTTTTGTACATGAATACATGTAGACTGTTGTACATGAATAAGTGTGGATTGTTTCAGGTCGTAAGAAAAAAAGCACACAGCTGTGAGTAACAATGGAGAAATAATAAACAACAAAATGGGAAGTGAACGTCCTCGGGCTTAAAAGGAAAGTGAACTGTCACAGGTCTTCTGTACAAGAAGCCGTCTAAACAAACGATTGCAGCATGCAGAGCAAACAACATGTGACTGCCAGCCAAACGCACAGCGCCTGTCACAGCCAGCAGCCGGATAAAACATGGAGGAATGTTAAACTGGCTGCTAATCGCTATGAAGCAACCGACAGACACTTCCTGCTCAGACCCAACACACTGGAGGAGTTTATCACAACTGGAGCAGTCGCCCACGGCAACCAATCAGCTTCTCTCTTTCATTTTCAAAGCTCAACTGAACAAACTGAAAAGAGAAGCTTATTGGTTGCCATTGGTAACTGCTCCAGATTCTGCTTGCCCCCGATCTTGATAAATCCCCCCCCCCCCCCCACAGAATACAAATACAGACAGAACCGGTGTGAAGCCAGGAGGAGTTCCCTGCCATGTACACAAGTTCCTGTGATCAATAGCACCAAAATCGGCATTTTACAGTCATTAGACCGGGGGCGGACAAATCCAAGGAGCCAGGGCGCCAATGCGTCTTAAAAATGACAGCTAGCGCCTTCAGGTTTTCTCTAGTTGCTAATGGAGCCGGCTCCTAAAAATACAATTCCTGCTGGCTCCTGGATTGGTCAGACTGTCCTAAAAAAGCCGGCTCCTAAAAAAAACTCTGTGGCTCCTGGATTGGCA